GTCCTCTAATATGCCTCTCGTTTGGAGGGATGTGTGCGAAGCCGCGTGGTGCCTAGAGGGTGCTACGATAACCGACGCCGAACTTAGTGCTGCTGAGGCGCTTACTAGCGCTGTTGTGCATTTGGCGCAGCAGATTCTGGCCGCCAGTTGACCCAGCTGGAGCATCGGTCCGAAAACCCAAAAAAACCAGGTTGCTGCTGGTCCTCCTCGGGCAGCTGGGCGGCGGCCTGGCCCGTCGGGGCCTCCTTGAGCCGGATTGTGCGGACAGATTTTCTGTGCACACACGTATCGTACTTCACTGTGCATCTCGTGTACGGGCCGTCCCATATCTTCGGGTACTTCGTCGGCTGCGACGACATCCTCTCTGTGGGCATACAGACGATAGGTGCCAGGTTCTCTGTTGTGTCAAGTGAGACAGCTTCTATTGGAGCAGGTGCATAGGCTGCTTGCTTTGATTGTACTCGCTGCATTGTTATCTTGCCCTTCCAGGCCGCTTGCTTTGTACTTGTTGCATTGTCTGCTTGTGATTTGCCTTGTTCTTGTTGAGCGAATCCACGTTTTATGGAGTTGTTTCATCTGAATTGTCAGACACGGATTTTGTAGCTTCAGACTGGACACATACGGCGTTCTTTACTTCCGAGTTTCTCGCTGCTCGTTTCTCTACGCTCGAAGTGTGTTAGTGATCTATATTGCCGTGTTCGTCCTGCATGTTGTCAAAGTTTCTCAATCGAAATTGCGCCGCCTGCGGGCGAAACGTATCAGGTATCGTTTGCGGTCCACGGCTCGAGGGCCAGATTCGTCGTGCCTTGTTCGCGCCGGTTTTCGCTTCTAGAGATTATGGGAATTTCTGTTCGGACTGAGGAAGAGGAATGGGTTGAGGACACTTGTGGAACACAGACTGATATGGATGCTGTTTAATTGGCTGGCAACCCCTTGTGTTCGCAGTGTTCGATTGTGGGACTCAGACAGATCCCTGTGTTCACATTGCGTGTGGGACCCAGACTGATTTTTGTGTTCTCTTTGTTGGTAAGGAGGAGAAGGAGGAGTGTCACCGAGTGCACGTTGATCAGGGTGATGCTTCTGCAGTTGGGAGTCAGTGCAGTCGGGAGTTCCACAGTTCGGAGTGCAGTAGGAAGTTCCACAGTTCGGAGTTCCGCTGATGCAGTTGCTGATACAGTTGGGAGTTCAAGAGCTGGGAGTTCTGCAGTTCGGAGTACCGCGGTTTGGAGTTCAGCTGATGCAGTAGGGAGTTCCATGACCGGGAGTTCTGCTGTTGCAGTTGGGAGTTCAACGGAGGCTGACCATGGGATTCAGTCAGATTCTATGGTTGGGAGTTCTGCAGTTGGGAGTTCCGCAGTTTGGAGTTCATCTGATGCACTGGGGAGTTCTGCGACGGGGAGTTTATCTAATGCAGTTGTGAGTTCAGCAGTGACGGAGGACGAGGAGAAACGTGGCCATGCAGACTATTTGTATCAGTTGGCGTGCAATTTAAAGATCAGGAACTACTGTTTCCGCAAGCGTGGTTTGTATGTTTCTTCATCAGATGTTGGAATGCACGTTTCTGGGAGTGCTTCAACAGACGTTTGAATGCAAGTTTCTTCAGCATATGTTGGATTGCAAGTTTCTTCAGCAGAACAAGATGCGGAGGTTGGAATGCGAGTCTCTTCCGCTGGGAGTGCAAAACTTACCACGCGAGTGAATCGATCTGATGTTAGGGTGCCAGATAGAATGGAGCAGTTTGATCAGTTCGTAACTGAGGTTGGTGTGCACGGGCGAAGTTACTTGATAGATGACATGCTTCGCATGAGCTTCACGTCCCAAAACGTGTTTCGTCTCGCCAGGTGTCTGGGCAGAAAGTTCGGCACTCCAGTTGCCTCTAAGACTCAGTGCCGGAAGCTCGGTTACGGGTATAGCCTCAACCACGACATTCTTTTTGGTGTGTTCTATATGTGTACACGATTGAACATATCAGAAATTCACGGTTTCACCAGGCAAAGGGCAACGCGCGATACCTGTGTTGAGGCCATCCTGCAAGACCTCATTGTGGTGCAAGGTGGGCCTAGGAATCTGGGCGAACATGTTCATGCAAGTTTTTGGAATGAGGATTTCAGCCAATGGACGTTGCAAGATGCGCGCCGGCTTCTCGGTTCAGTTGGGACATGCGTTCCTTCAGCGCATGTTGGAATGCGAGTCTCTTCCGCAGGTGTTTGAATGCAAGTTTTTGGGCGTGCTTCAACAGATGTTGGAAGGCAAGTTTCCTGAGTTGAATTTCCAACCTCATCCGTTCATTGCACGTTTAATTTCATGAGTTCAGTGAGCTTCCAACTTATCAGTTCATTGCATATCCTTTTTGTTATTTGAGTGTTCTCCCTTCCTCTCCCCCGCTGTTTTGCCCCTGGGTTCGCTTTGGCTCTTTGGGCTCTTCCCGCTCCCCCGCTGGCTTTTCCCTCGGCTCCCTGCTCGCTGGCTCATAAGTGATTCGTGGCAGGCATCTGTAACTTATCATCCAATTCACGTTTTGTATGCATCTTTGTAATTGTGTTTCGCGGGCATGGTTCACTGCAGTGGTGCTGAGACGGTAATCGCTCTGTGGTTACTGCATGGTCTTCGCATCGCTTTCAATCTTACAATCTTTGAGTTGCATTCTCGTGTATTGTGTACTTGTGCATTCCTGTACAGCTTCGCTGTTTGTGCACTTGTACTTTCTTTTCAGCTTCGCTGTGTATATCTGTACAGCTCCGCTGATTAGGTTTCTCTGTGTCCTGGCCTGCTCCCAGGGGAGCTCGAATCGGCCTACGCAGACTCCGCAGACCAGGTTGACGGTTCACCGCCGGGGCCAGTTGGTCGACCCGGCCCGGGCGGACAATGTGGTGACTTTGGGTGGGTTTTGCTGAGATTTGGAAGATATTTGACAATTCATTTGAGAAAGCAGATTTTTTCGCACCTGTGAACGACTATGAGGCCTCTGCGTCTTAATATGAGCTCTGTAGGAGCACATTTACTATCAAAACACTTGGCCGAACCAACTTCATCTCGACATTAAAAAATCAATGTTCCCTCCCCTCCCCTGGAGTTTTCCCTCCCCCTTTCCCTCCCCTGGAGTTTTCGGTATCCTGGAGTCGGTTCTGGAGCTGGGGTGATTCTGGAGTCGGTATTTCGCTGGCTCTGGAGTCGGATGTCGTTCGTCGGAAATGGTAGCGCTGGCGTAGGTGAGACGGTGGGGCTATCTCTGGGGGCTCAGGAGGTCCAGAGTGCGGGGGTCCTTTGGGCCATCTGGAGGTCCCCATGAATTACGCGTTCTGTTTGTGCCCAAACCGATGGTTGGCAGTTGGCAGCGCAGTGTCGCTCCGCTCGTTGGGTCACTGACTCGGCGACGTCCTCCAGGGCCCACGAACCAGGCCATCCGATGACATCGCCCCCCCCGTGCCGTTCAGCAGCAGCCTCCATCGATCCGCGCTCGAGTCGTCTCTCTATCATGTGGAGCCTGGCCTCTCGGTTGCCTCGCAGCTCTCGCTCGTCCGGCCGGCCATCGTGCACCCCGCAAGCTGGTTCTCCATCGCGAGGAGGGAGCGCCTGAGTAAAACAGGGCTAGGATCGGGATAAATCGATCCAGGGCGTTCCGGAGCGCTCTCAGAGCGTTCCGGAACGCTCTGGAGCGGCCGCGGCGCCCAATACATCCTCCAAACCCGCCGATTCTCAGAGATTTCGAGTTATCCCGATCCGATGTTGTCCCGATCTTCGCGTCGTTTTACTGAGTTTCCTGCGCTGGAGCCGCCAGAACTGTGCCACCACCCTGGCTGGGCCCGTCCGCGTCTCCGTGGCCATGCCCCGTGCCGCTGGCCCGCATATCTCTGCGCACGCCGCGTGCGCTCCCGCGCCCTCTCTCCCGTGCAGGGTGGCGGTGGTCGTGGGCAGTCCGGCCGCCCGCGTTCGCTGGACGTCTCTTCGTCGATGCTGTGTTCGCTCAGCTGTCGGTGCTCCCGAGCTGCTCGTTGAAAGGCCCTGGGTTCTGCAAGCCCAGGCCCCGGTGGTCCAGGTGCACAACTGGCCGCGCTTCATCCCGGCGGTGGTCGCACGACCTGCGGCTCGCGCCGCGCTTCTCGTTCGCCTTGTCCTGTGCCCTTGCCATCACTCGCGCTGCTGGCCGTGCCGCTGCTGTAGGGGTCGCACGGCGTCATGTCTCCTCAATGTACTTGAGGCTATAGCCTACGCGCAGTACTGCGCTGGCGTCGGCAATTGCTATTCGGGGTCGTCCAATATGCCATGCGCGTACGTCATACATCAGCATACACACTTGTTACAGTACACCCTGTTCTCCCGTTCGCAGGGCTTACTGGGGCCTGCATGTAAATTTCCCCCTTCGAGGTGAAACCTTTCCGTGCCGTGGCAGATTCCTTGTGGAGGGCCCCCCCCCTCCCGCTAGTCGGTCGTGTTGGCCAGCTTCGCGCTCGGCACGGCACTGTAGTGCTTGTCGGTGCAGCTGCTTCCCTCGTTCACTGTGCCTCGCAAGTGCTCTGGGCCTCACGAGCCGCTCGGGGTCCTGGCTGATCTCTCTGGCTGTTTTCTTCTCTGGGGCAAGCTTGCCCGGGCCAGGCTCGAGAGCCCCTGGCGGGCGCCCCGCGTGCCCGAAGGAGGGGGCCGCCGTGCTCGCGGGGGGTTCGCGGACGGCCGCCGCGTCCTGCCTGCCCTCGCCTCTTCTTGGCACGCCGCAGTTGCCTCTCCACCGCGCGCTCAAGCTCCGTCTTCGGGCTGTGGCACCACCTACGCAGACCCCGTCGGGCCATGGAAAAATTACGACGGGAGGTGTTTCGCTGTTTTCGGCCTATGGGGTCCCTTGCCGGACCTCGGGACCGTCGAAGAACGACTCAGGATGAAAAACCGTTCCCGGGGAATGGGCCCGGACCTCTGGAGATCGCGTCATGAAAAAATCATGACGTCGGGGGTCTGGGCACCCCCTTCGCTCCTCCGAGCCTGCTTGGACAGAAGCCCGCCGCCCGCACGAAGGGCTGCGGGCGGAGCGCGTTCATCTTCTCGGGCTCCGTCTCGTCAACCTGCTTGTCCTCGAGCACCCAGTGGGGCTGGGGCGAGTGGCTGAAGGCCAGCGTGATCTCGCCTTTCCCCTGCAAGCTGGCTGTTTCGTCCTCGATGCCCTCCTGCCTGCCCTTGCCTGTACGCCTCGCTGGTCTTGAAGAGGAGCATGGTCTCCATCTCTAGGGCCTGCCCGTGCTGACCGTTCGCGATCTGGTGCCACTCCATGATGGTGTCCAGCGCCCACATGCTGTTCTGCTCTGGCCCGTCCTGCGCCACGGTTTCCGTCAGCTCGTTGAACACGCCCTCGATCATCGCCATCGCCGCGAGCGCGCGCGGGGGCCCGAGCCTGCGTCCCTTTCCTGCGCTGCACGCTCTCGTCCTGTGCAGCTTGCCTGCTTCCCGTGATGCCAGGGGCGCGTGCACGCTCGCTGGAACGAGCCAGGATGAAGTCGGGCCTGTCCCTCTACAGGAGGAATATTCAAACATAGTAAAAACATAGTCTCGGGATGATTGTTTGAGCCTTTTTTGCTCCTTTTGACGGTATTTTGTTATTATGTTCTATTTTTCGTCCAAGAGCCCCTTGTAGGAGGACAGGCCCGACTCAAAGCCAGGAGCCCGCGGTGGCGTGCGAGACCTCGCGCATGCCCTGGGCTGCCGTTAAGGGTCAGCCTCCGCAGCGCTCAGGAGCACCGCCTGGTGGCCGTCGCCTCCTCCGCCTGCCGGGGGGGGGGCCGCGAGTGGCCGAGAGTTTGAGAGCCTCAGAGTCGCAGATAGGGCACGCTGCGGAATTCACCCCTGCAGCAGAGAGTGCCCAAATGCTGTGGTCGCGATAGCAGGTGCCATGCCCTTCACAAGCTCGCGTAGCGCAGTCAACTGTAGTCCTCCCAGCATCGAGCGTGGAGATGCACCCACGGGGCACATTTGTGGGCAACCAGCGGGGCGCATTTGTGGGCTTCTCTCCTGTGGGCCTTCAGGGCCTGGATCGTTGCAAGCCTCTTCGCACAGCACGTGATAGGTCCGTCCTCCTTCTGCTCCTCCCAGTCGCACCAGCTGGGTTGGTCTACCTGCTCCCCCTCCTGATCGTTGTGCGCCTCCTCCTCCTCCTCCTCCTCCTCATCCGCCTCCTCCTCCTCCTCCTCATTCTGCTCCCATTATACTGCTGCTACTCACAAAATCGACACATCTGTGGCAATCCACTGTTCTTGGTTTGCCGTCCCTGGTTGGAAGGTCGCAATGTCGGACCTCCTTCGGTCAAACCACGCGTGGAACTCGTCACAAACCTGGCAAGGAGCTTGAACTTCCCCCAGTACCTGTCGGGCACAATGTGTGCTTTCTCCCCAGACACTTCCCTCCCGGAGTCGTTTCTTTGTTGTCCCGCTGCATCGTCCAGTTAAGGATCCCCAAAGACAGCGCGCCACGGTGCCCCTGAGGACGCAGCGCAAATTGCCGATGCCACCTCAGTCTTCGCGCTCGCAGAGTCACGGCACACCGTTCTATCCCTCAGAATGCAAAGACTTGTTTCGTAGTTTAGCATTTCGTCTCTCCCTTCTCTAACGTCCTGCTCGTTTTGCCTGCAGCTATAGTCCGCGCAAGTAGACCCCCAACTTCACATCACATATATCGGCGAGACGATTGGGCAAGACAAATGCTGTTAGTCCACTCAAGGCAGCACCAATCATGAACGCTACGAAGATAAGATTATTGATTTTGTCTGGTGTTTCACTCTTCCAACAGATTCCGCACTGGTGCCAGGCGATGTGCATCGCTGTGCAGCGCCGCTGGATTTTCCCTGCATATCCTTGTTCCGCGGGCATGTACGGCCCCAGCATTCGCATCTCCCGCAAGGTCTCTACAATTGCTACGTTTGTTTTGCGCAGTTACCTCGTAGTTGCGCGGCGCCCTTGGCCTAAAAGGCATGTGGGTGGTTGGTCTTGCCTGGGTTCGAGCACCGCCCTCCTTTCGCTATTGTTGTTGCGAGTCTGGTAGTAGCCCCGTTGAGAATCGCCGCCGCTGCATTGCTGAGCAGTGCTGCGGGGAGGGTTCGTGCGCGTGACGTCGTCCATGAAGGAATTCATGGCGAGGTCGACTCGCCCATGCAGGACAGTGTTCACCGTCTCGTGTATGGCTTGTTCAGGGTGGGGTGCGTTCTCGCGCGCGTGAGCCACTGGGCGAGGTGGCTGATGCACGCGTCTTTGAACTGTCGCGGGCAGAGTGTGAACCCGTCCGCGCTCCCTCCGCGGTCTCTGCGTCCAGGCTACCGCCGGCACATCCCATGCCCATAGGGCTGTTAATGATGGCAACCATCGCAAGTGCTTGGTCGTGCTCGCCGGCGTACTTTCATGCCGTGGCCTGGAGCAGCGGTCTTTTGGTGCTTGCGAGGGCGTTGGTGCAGTCAAAGTTGCTGTGGGCAACGCTTACTCCCGCTTCGTTTTGCACGCCACCGTGCGGCTGCAGTCGCAGCTGCCGTGGGCGATGCTCACACTCCCGCTTCCTTTGCACGCCAACGTGTGGCTGCAATACAGACCAGGGCGTTTCCTCGGCACTCGCGGGCCAGCCCACCCCGCGCCCAGCCTGGCGCGGCCGTGGCCCCCGTAAGTGGGTGCCCCTCATGATGCCGCGCCGTGCCTTCAGAGCAGTGCGCGCGCATGACGCGTGTGGCCTTGCCACCTGCCGCCCCACTGTGCTTTTCGGCGTCGCGGGCGTGGGATCTGTGCCAGACCGGTGGGGTGCAGTTGCCAGTTCGGATCTGGGTGGGGATGTCTATGGCCGTTGGAAGCGGCATTCATCCGTTCCTTCTCGCAGCGGACCGCCACCCAACGCTGCCTTCTGCGCACGTCCCACCCAGTGCGGCACAACGTCACGCGCTGCAGCTTCCCGGCCTCCGTCCTGCTCCTGCCTCCTGCAGCAGTGCCCGCCCCTTCCCGTTCTTGGCAATTCTCGCGTACCTCGCAAGCTCATCCTCGTCCTCTCTCTTCTCGGCCCTCTTGATGTTCTGCTCCTCTATCTTTCGACTGAGTTGCGCAGGGTCACGCAGATGCACAGTTTTGGTCCAAATCATCGAAGTCAATTGCACAGGGATCCCCCACTCTGGAAATGCCCTTCTAGTCTTTGTTTCCTTGTAATACCTCAGCATGGCCTGCCTGTCCCTCTGTGCGCGACTCTTCAAGTCCCAGTCCTCTGGTAAGGATACGCGGTCCCTGACAAATTCCTCCATGTCTGCCCGTTGTTGATCCAGGTCGATCGGAGTTGTTGTCAGCCCTCCATCGTGCGGATGCTTACCTAGCTCCTGGGACCACTCCGCATTATCGCAGTAGGTCTTAGGGGCATCGTAGTATTTGTTCTTGGGGCCTCAGCCGTTTCGCTGGTACACGATGAGCAGTCTGTGCATTTCGTTGTGGTCGTGGTCTTCTTTCCATAGGCCTACCAGATGGCCTCCACGATTTGTCCCCTTCGTTTTTTTCCCCGTTCTTCCTGGAGTTTCTTCAAAACTGCCTTCGCCAAATGGTCGAGCTCATGTTGTGCTGCTGCTAGGGCATCGTCCGAATCTGCATTCGCCAGACTTTCGGATGTTTCGTCGTTATGTAAGGAGTTCCATTGGGAGTTGCTTCAAGAATATCTCTTCTGGAGTGGCCTCCGTATCTGTCTTCTGGAACGTGTTCGACAGATTGCCCACTACCATCAGATCTGGCGTCGCCGCCGTCACCGCCTCCCCCCATTATGCTGTCGCCTCTAGCTCCTACATACTCTGCTCCATCTCCTCAAACAACTTGGTCCTCTTCGCAGCACCCTTGAGGATTGTGCACTTTTGAACGAGTGGGAGGGCCCCCCGTGGGATCAGGATATGGTATATTTCTGTAGGGGTTCCCTTAGCCGAGTATTAGGTAGGGCCGCAGTCGTGGCACGTAGTTGCTATGCTCATGTCACTCTCCTCGCCACATTTCCTCTCTGCTGTACCGTTTTCGTTATCAATATCATTGTTGTTTTTCCCTACTGCTGTGCTCACTATTCGCGTGACCGTCCCATCCGACCCTTTGCGCATGCCAAATTTTGTATTCAGGCCCCCCCCGACCAGTATGGTGGTTCGCGCGCCTAGTCCATCACACATGCTCAAGCCAGTTGGTCATCTTTGTGCAGACGACGCCGTAGTGCTTGCATTGCGTGGGTGGTAGGTGTATTGTAAACACTTCGATGTCGTATTCTTTAGTCGCAATGCGCAAACCACTGACCCTTCCCTGAAGTTTAGCTCGGGAGACATAGATCCTTCGCACGTCGCAATCGCTACCCTCTCATTTCGCAGCAGAATTGGCGTCCCGCAAGCCTTGCTGATCCATCTCCCCTTCTTCCCCCCAAACTGCATGCACCAATGATTGGTCATCTGCGGTGCATCACAATGCGGCTCGGGACCTGCCCACTTGCGCGCGCCAGAAAAGAGGATAATGCCCCATTCCCGCAATTCCGAGCTGATGTCCTCCAGTCGGCAGTGGGTTGTAGCACACTATTCGCATTACTAGTAGGTGCCGCACCGTACCCTGTAGTCGTACACCTGTCAGTCGCGGGAGATACATAGTTACTGCATCATTCCCCTCCACCCCTGGCTCCCCAAAGAAGCTTGTGTAGGAAACTAAGCACAGTTCAGTCAGGCTGGGGTGTGTTCGACATCTGCCAAACGCCAGCTGGAGGAGGAGGAGAGGAGGACGAGGAGGAGGAGAAGGAGGAGGAGGAGGCAGGTCCCTGAGATCCCGGCGCCGCAGTTTCTTCACACTTGGCGCTTTCTCTTGGTTTGGGCCCCCCGGACCATCACAGATCGATCCGGCTTGAACAATGCTGTAGTAAGACGGGTCTAGGGCGCCGCGGTCGTGATTTTTCGCGATGGTGCCTTTTTCGCAGCTTCTGAACTCGGGGCGGAGGGGGAGGAGGGCAACGAACGCGTGCGACAGACAGAGCGCATCCCCAGAAAGTCACGGTCCCGAGAACGCCGATGCACTCCTGAGATGCACGGAGGCGGTGGCGGCCAGGACCGAAACTGCAATCACACACCAACCGTTTGCTGGGGCCGCATGACTGAGGCCTGCGCCCAGGAGGAGGATCCGAGGCTGGAGTGTATGTATGTATGTATGTATACACCGTCTGAGGCGCGGTGCTGACACATCGAGCATGCTCGTCCGGTAGCCATGTTGTCCAACAAAGAAGCAATTTGGCTGGAGGTGCAGCTTCAACAAGTGCCTTAATTGCCAGTCGCATTGCTTATACATCATGGCAGCACTCAGTGCGATCCAGAGGGTCGTGGAGGAATATCTCATCAGCGTCGCACCAAGCACGCCGGAATATGGCTTTTTGACCTTGGTGCCCTGGAGCTCGCAGGAGAAGCCGGCCAACGTGTTGGCATCTTGCGCAGATTGTGGAGAGTTGAGGTTGGAGAGCATCGCCCAGATAGTGGAACAGCACGAGGTCGTGTTGATCGTATCCGTATACAGGAAGAAGAAGGAGAAGAGACGCGTGGTATGTCTTCTGGACCATCTTGGGGTGGCTCATCCCGACGTGGTCGTCTTCCTGGTACAGCTTCCAGATCGGTTGGATCCCGAGCTGACCAAGGCCTACCTTAATAAACTGATGGTGCGGCATGACGAGCTCTACAGCTTTAGGGCGGATGGCGTGCTGATGGAGCTGGCAGGTGACCCGGGGGTGCTGCAACATAGGTGAAGTTTGGAGCTCCAAGAGAACGCCGCCATCCAGCTGCGCGTGCGGGCACAGATCAGCATTCTGAACCAGGATGTGCCCTCTGCCATGCAGCTCAAAGACATCGAGGACGAGTTCCGTAGTTTGCTCTGGAATGCCATTCCAGATGTGCTGATGCCCGATTTCGCGCCTTTGGACGAGCGTCTCTTGGAATATGGGAATCGGGTTGGGGATTTCCAGCTCGTACGCCCGTATTCGGATCACCAGCACGTGTCGTTGGCGGTGAACGGGCAGCATGAATACGTCGTGATCAAAGAGTACGACAAGCGCAGCGTCACCGATGCCAAGGAGGTGGAGAGCATATACCAGGAATTCTGTTTCTTGACGCACACCCTCGACCACCCACACATCATCCGTTGCGTAGGCATGTTGCACAGCCAGTGTAGTGTGCAGTTGGTTCTCCAGTATGGTGGAGACGTGTGCATGGAGCAGGTGTTGTTGACTCAACCTGGGTACCGCTTGTCCAAGGACGAAGCCTTGGATTGCAGTACCCAGATCGCCAGTGCTCTGTCCTACTGCCACGCCCAGGATGTCGTCCATGGGCAAGTGTCTTTGAAACACGTGGCTGTAGAGACATCACAGAATCGGCACATCTGCCGCCTTGTGGATTTCAGCATGGCAGCTCACGTGCCAAACTCCAGCGCAAGGGAGACCTGGTGCGGATCTCTGCCGTGCGTGGCTCCAGAGGTGGCGCTGAACGAGCCGTACTTGCCTAAGCCAGCGGATTGTTGGAGTCTTGGGGTGTTGCTCCTGGAGACCGCTTGCGGGCAAGGTTCGCTCAAGTTGTCGGTCCAGTGGCGCCGTGGCGAGCCCCTCGCTTACGCCGCGCGGCAAGTACTCGAGTTTTTCTCCCATGCAGGTTGCCACATCGAGGTGATGACGAAGATGGGTAATCCACTCGACGGCGTAACACTGGCGTGCTTAGAGGCGGTGTTGAAGCCCGAGCCAGCTCGCAGAACGAGTGCCTCCGACATGGTAGGGATGTTGTCTACCAGGCGCACCGAGCAGGCCATTTCTGATTGATTCGTTGCTAGTTACTTTGACACTTTGGTCGCGCGTGTAGCAGTGCATGCGCCTCACATTTTTAGCGCAGGCTTCGTGCGTCAAGCTTCTGCCCAATACGCCTAGAACCCTTCCCCAGCATAAGTTGTCCGTCGAGCCATTTCTTGATGGTCCTGGAGCCCGTTGAGAGCCTTCAGATGCCGAGATGCCACATGACCGCCCGTCGTGGTTTGTCCCCACGTAACACCCGCCTTCCACCCCTTCTCCTCTTCTTTCTTGCCTCTTAACTCGCTCCTTCCTGCCTGCCAGCCTGCATCCTACCTGGCAGTCCTAGGTGATCTGGCCATCATGCATCACTTTATTCATACGTTAATCATGTATTACAAATCCTATATGTGTTTAACTCCCATGTAAAAACAACTGCCTTGTATGTACCTTTGCGCCGGCGGGTGACGCTACGGGCAGCGGCTCGGTCGAGGCCAACGCCAGCCTTGCTGCCGCAGTCTCTCTCGCACATGTGGCTGGGTGTCACACCCGCACATGTGGCTGGATGCCCGTCCTCGAGAAGATGTTTCAATCAAGTCAAACACTTGAGGCCGCCTGGCACCGCGCCGCTGGTCCAGTGATCGGCGTGCCTCCATTTTCCGCACAGATGTCCGCACACTGGCGACTGAGATGTTTCACAAACTGGAGACTTGCTTTTGCAGCCCGAATGGTTCTCTGGGAAGGTAGATTGAGCTTGCCCAGGATTTGTCAAGCAATGCTTTGGCCTGGCACGTCGCCAGACACGGTGCACCCTTCGGGGTAGCAGTCGAGCACGCACATTGCGAAGCCGCGCGGCTCGACCTTATGAGTTTACCAGTCGGAGGCGTGCTGGATCTGGTCCAGCGGGGGCGCCTTGCCCCGACCAGAACGAGCCGCGGGAAGCTCCGTGGACTCGTTTGCCACCTGCCCCTGCCCCTGCCCCTGCCCCTGGCAAGGAAGCAGAGAACAGGAGGCACCGTTCTTCCTGGCACGACGGCTCCTGTTCTCCCTCTCTCTCTCTCTCTCTGTCTGTCTTTCCTGTCCTCCTCCTCCTCCTCCTTCTCCTCCTCCTCCTCGACCCGTGCCCGCTTGGACCACCTTTGGAGCGGAAACCACCCACGAACTGGGGCGAAGTTGCCTCTCGGTTCGGGGCCCAAGGCCCCGACTCCGTTTGGAGGCTTCGCCCTGGACGTCAAATTCGGAGGACTGGATGTCCTCCCCGATTGGTGAGGTGGTCGTCCTGCATGCCGAGTGGCCATTTTGACCGAGAGGCACCGCCTGCTTGGAGCGCGCTGCGTGGCGGGCATTGTTTTCGCTCTGCGAAGCCCCCAGCTGCCGCTGATGCCCCGCGCTGGCACTGCAGCTGTGGGCTTCACCCCAGTAAAAGGCTCCTCCTCCTCCTTCTCCTCCTCCTCGACCCGTGCCCGCTTGGACCACCTCTGGAGCGGAAACCACCCACGCACTGGGGCGAAGTTGCCTCTCGGTTCGGGGCCCAAGGCCCCGACTCCGTTTGGAGGCTTCGCCCTGGACGTCAAATTCGGAGGACTGGATGTCCTCCCCGATTGGTGAGGTGGTCGTCCTGCATGCCGAGTGGCCATTTTGACCGAGAGGCACCGCCTGCTTGGAGCGCGCTGCGTGGCGGGCATTGTTTTCGCTCTGCGAAGCCCCCAGCTGCCGCTGATGCCCCGCGCTGGCACTGCAGCTGTGGGCTTCACCCCAGTAAAAGGCTCCTCCTCCTCCTTCTCCTCCTCCTCGACCCGTGCCCGCTTGGACCACCTCTGGAGCGGAAACCACCCACGCACTGGGGCGAAGTTGCCTCTCGGTTCGGGGCCCAAGGCCCCGACTCCGTTTGGAGGCTTCGCCCTGGACGTCAAATTCGGAGGACTGGATGTCCTCCCCGATTGGTGAGGTGGTCGTCCTGCATGCCGAGTGGCCATTTTGACCGAGGAGCACCGCCTGCTTGGAGCGCGCTGCGTGGCGGCGGTGCTCGCGGGAATTGTTTTCGCTCTGCGAAACCTCCAGCTGCCGCTGATGCCCCGCGTTGGCACTGCACCTGTGATCTTCACCCAGTGAAAAAAAACAACAAACAAAAAACATAGATTGGCATGGTAGCGAGAGCAACTACCGCGCGCAACCCTTCCCCCAGTGGCCATGCCTGACAGCTGGCAGTGGGTGCCGGCTGGCACGCGTGGTGGTGCGATTCCAACGGCTTGCGTTCAAGCGTCTGTGTTAGAGCAACAAGTTGTTGCAATTCGTCGTGCCAGCGGAGGAGCCCTTCCAGGCCAGCTCTTCAAGGTCCGAGGATAGCAGATCGGCATACACTCTGCTACCACAGTGGTGGCCGAGTGTGTGCTGATGAGCTTCCCTCGACGGTGTGGTGGCACACGCTGTGCGTCCCATCGACGGTGGGAGGCACACGCGGCGTGGTGGCATACACTACGCATGCCTCCCATAGGCAGTGGAGGAGGAGGAGGAGCAGGAGGAGGAGGAGGAAGAGGAGGAGGACCAGGAGGAAGAGGAGGAGGAGGAGCAGGAGGAGAAGGAGGTGGAGGAGGAGGAGGAGGAGGAGGGGGAGGAGGAGGAGGAGGGCGAGGAGGAGGAGGAGGAGGAGGAGGAGGAGGAACCCGCCAGCGCCTTCTTTAAAGCTGACCCGCGAGGGTTCTGGCTCGCGCGCGGCCTCGCTCAGTGCACAAGAGCTCTCGGCGGTCCGCGCCGACTTCCTCGGGTCGTCACCTTGGGCCCCCGCTGGCGGCGCCTCCGGCGCCGCCCCTGGCGCGTTTCGCGCGCCAGGGTGCGGTCCAGCGCCGATCAGCGAAATCCGCGCGGACCTCCGTCAGCTTCTACTTATGCCGATACGGCAAAGACATCGAGGCAAGAGCCGCTCTGGGTTCAGGAGGGGCTCTTGGTCTTCGGGCTGACCCTTGGGCCCTCGGGTGGGGGAACCCATTCGTGACCGAGGCTCGCCAAGGTTGACCCTTGGGGCCCTCGGGTGGGGGAACCCATTCGTGACCGAGGCTCGCCAAGGTTGACCCTTGGGCCCTCAGGTGGGGGAGCCCAGTCGTGACCGAGGCTCGCCGTAGCCGGGAGGGCCTCTCCGCTCCTGACTCGGCGTTCCTTGTCGCGGCGCGATGGCTGTCGGGTCGATCCTCGGGTCCCGGTGGAGGAGCCTATTCGTGACCGCGGCTCGCCGTGGCCAGGCGGGCTTCTTCGTTCCTCACGCAGCGCGCCCTGTCGTGGCGCGGCGTGTGCGTGTGTGTGTGTGTGTGTGTGCGTGTGTGCGTGTGTGTGTGTGTGTGTGTGTGGGTGTGGGTGTGGGTGTGTGTGTGTGTGTGTGTAAGTGCGTGTGTGTGTGTGTGTGTGTGTGTGTGTTTCGCTGCAGGTGCCAGCCGTCCCAGGTATGCCTCCGTCGTCACCTGCTTCGGACGTGCTGGTCTATCCCTTCCACTCCCTGAGGGCTTGTCGGCTTTTCGCCAATCGACGTGGTGGGATCGCGCCAGGTGAATCCAGGTAGATGCAGATGCATCCAGGTAACTACAGGCAAATCGAGGTACATCCGGGCAAATCCAGGTACATCCAGAGATCTCCAGGGAAAGTTCGAGCAACTCGCGGCTGCTCCAGCGCGAGTTGAAGGACGGCAGAAGTCGTTGAGCTTTTAACGATCCACTCCCCAGAGGTGCGACGGATCTCCGAGACGGAGTTTCAGCTCACATTCTGGAGTTGTTGTTCCCTCTACTGGACGGCTCTGTTCTTCGTGCCGGATTTTCTCGAGGTGTTTTGAGCTTCTGGAAGAATCTATGTGATGAGGATGGATGCGCTGTTTTGCTGACGCCAGCTTGCACCACACAGTTGGTTCCACATACTGCCCGACTGAGATGTAAGATCGAGGTCGATTCGCCTAAAGTTGTTCTTGCTTGTTGGAGGTGTTTGTACATTCTGGGGAGGGTACCTTTGGATGCTCTTTGTGTCTTGGCCAGCGGAGGGTCTCATGGGCTCATGTTCTTGGAGAGTGTTCTTTTATCCGAGGTTCGACTGTGGCATACACATAGCCTGCTCAATGTATGTTCTAGCATATGCGCTGCACCACGCATATTATACCACGTCTGTTGCACCACGTAGCTTGCACCGCATACTTTGCAGCACATCTCTTGCACCACAGCGAGGGCTTCACGTCGAGAGCGCAGACAAGCTTACTGATTGGGGTCCACGCTGGCAGAGATCTTGCTGCAGCAAGATTCCTTTCTCGGCTCCTTCTGCGCCGTCCCCGCTTTCCCCATGCCTCGGCTTCGTCCCACTCTCGAGCCAGAGCGCGCGCGCGGGGCCTGCCAGAGGTCGTGCGCCAGCTGCAGATGACGATCGTGCTCTTCTTGTGCGCGCCCCGGTTTCGTGTGGTCTGCGCTGGCGAGGCGCGGCGGAGGAGGGCCAGGCGAGACCTCGGCGGCCCTTCTCCTGGCGTTGTTCGTTCCTGTGTGGGCCCCCATGGAGGCTTCTCGTCGCCCCGGCTGGGTTCCCCTCGAACAGACGGGTCAGGACGGTCCCCGGGCCGGGAGGGTTGTGGGTACGGCTTGTGTGCCAGCTTGGGCACGACGGCCCTTGCTGGCGTTTTCGTTCTTTCTCTGGGCCTCCATGGAGGCTTCTCGTCGCCACGGCTGGCCACCGCTTCGAAAAAACGGGTCAGGATGATGGACCCCCGGGCCGGGAGGGCTGTGGGCACGGCTCGTGTGCCGATTTGGGCACGGCGGCCCTTGCTGGCGTCTTCCGTTCTTTTTCTGGGCCTCCCGGAGGCCTCTCGTCGCCACGGCGCGGGCCGCCTCGGAAGAGCAGGTCAGGATGGACCCCGGGAGGGTTGTGGGTACTCATGAGGTGGCGAAGCGTCCTGGCTCGCCTGTAGCCCTGCCGAACCATGTTCTAAGAACCTTCTGTGGTCTCCACGAAATGTTCTTAGAACATTTCTGGCTGGTCCTGTCTTGTTTGAACACATCGGAATTGTGTTTTAAGAA